GAAAGAAATATAGATATATTGAAAAAATATCGAATTTTTACTTATCTTTGGACGTTTCGGGACCGATTCTGCTCCCTGCAAGTCTTGTCTTTTGACAAAAATGCGTTAATGATATCATTTTCAATATCAGAAAATACCTGTTATTAAAATATTAGACGCTGAGAATAATATGATGATCGAGTATGAAGTAGTAGAGGTAGCAAAAGAAGAAGCATTGGCTAAATAAATAACTAAATAAACCTGAAATGGGCCCTAAATTCATTATCTGAATTATGCCATATTACGTTTTCCATGAATCTTTCAATTCTGAATCGGGTGCATCATGAAACATTAATGGTAACATACTTGATGTCCAAGTATTATTCATCACTATCGAGCTTGAATCGTCATCGTCAACAATCGAAGAAACTATGGAGGCTACAAGAATCGATCGCTCTATCATGTTGAATATTAAATTTCCAAAATTTAGCTCAAGCAGGATCATTAGCAAGATCAATTTCCAAATATCTAGTTCAGATCAACGAGGAACTACAGAAGTGACAACCGGACAACTGACAAATTTTACGAGCTGATCAACTGCTGCTGATTCCCATGAACACGTGTTCCAAATTACAGCACTGTATTTTCGATTTTATATTACGGAACACAGATTTTCAGTGCAGAATCAGTGAATCTACTGACAGTACTGACCAGTTGAATTTGGAATATAGCCCATGTGTAACAAGGCATAATGTTGTCCCTAGAGGACCTGCCCGAACTATGGCTACCGAGGAGGATATTTTATAGAGGGCACAGTTCAGTCTGGAAAAAAGTCGTCTCACTGATTTCAGACGACTATTCACGCCGTTTGTTTTTTGCCAGTTTGCAAATCCACAGTTTAGTCGAAACATTGTATTTTCAGATAAAGCGTTGTTCACCAGAAATGGATATTTTAACAGCCATAATGGGCTTATATCACAAAAAACTATTATTTCATAATTCGATAGAACTCACCCAAACTAGCTCACCACCGCAAACCGTTTCTTGCTGTGAGCTCCCTACGTTTTATAAAAAAATATTGAAATCCCCGATTTTTCGGACCTCTGAAAATGAGGCGATGATGTAACGTCAAAACCCTAATACTGAAACAAGACTATTGCAGACAGAGATGAATGATACATGATTTCTGACAGAGTGAATCAGTTGAAAGAATTAATATATCATCAGTTGCCTCAGTCTCCGTCGGGCGTTTGGTATTTTTTTTAACTATGGCGAGATGGGGTTTCTACGTCATTAGAGCAGGGTCCGTTTTCAGAAGGTACCAATATTTATGTCCAAAAATAAAACATTCCAGGTAATTTTTCGATCGAATTATGTCGTCAATCGTTATTAATGTATAAAAGGATTATTATAAACATGGTTTGGGTTGAAAGTTGTACTAAGGTGTACACGCCCATTACCATGTCATGATATTTGGCCAGCAAAGTAGTTGTTTTCTGTTAGTATGGTGAGACGGTGCAATAATGCCTGCATCGAAGCAGGAGATTTTCAATTTGAACATTTATTGTAATTTAGTTATGAGAGGGCGAGATTGATGAGCAGTGAACTTTGATAGTTAATTAAAAATTCGACCCAAAACGAATACTCAAAATCCTACCTGGTATGGACTGCGATGGCTTCCGAAGTCAGGAATCTCGATGTTCGGGCGGCCGCCACTTGCAAAATGCACAGTTTCCCGGTGTGATTTCGCCGACGCAACACTGAGAAACACCACTGTTACGTATTGCACATACGAGGATGAGTTACATAAAGTTCGCACCACAAATTCGATTATTTTTGTTCGGGAGCGAGAGTTTTCACGTGTTCTCTCGGCTATCGATAATTTTTTGAGAGAGAGAAAAATGAGTTTCTTTCGGTAATTGTCGGATAGTATTCGGACGGATCATCTAACGTTTCTCGATAGGACAGACAAGCAGTAGTTTTGGGTAACGCGCGAAAATACGAATCGAATATTTCATTAGACTTTAGATATTAAGAGTGCATTACATTCGTTTATCTTAATAAATAATAAAAGAGAATCGAACAAGTTACTAGTTACTAGATATTTTTATTCTGCAAGAAAACAATCGACTTCCTTGCTGGGTACGCCCCTGAAAATTCTGAAACAAATCTTATTAATCCAGTAGATGTCTGATGATTGTTTAATAGAACATTGGAAATTTCATCAAAATCGGCTGAAGCGTTTCCAAGCTATTGATATAAAAATTCGATTTTTTTTTTAAACTCAGCCCAGCAAACATGAATTGTCGGTGAATAGGCGGACCATCGCTGTCAGCAGCGGTTATGTATCGGCAGCGGCAAACCGATATCGGCAAAATGTTAGAATGACAAAGGTTGTACCGCCAAGGTATGATGTACGCTTATTTATTATGTTTTTCTCTCTTCCATCCCGTAATTGACCGTTATAGATAAGTCACAATCGAGCCGCTGTCGATTCGACACTGGAGACAAACTCCATTATATAAATAATCTCATAGTGTAGTATCACAATAACAATATATCTCCAGAATACTGCATTTTTAATGGTTGATCCCAGCAAACTATCGTCCGACATAAAAAATGATATATGTTATATAACAATAATTATACTCGTTATTGTCTACTAATCCATTTTTGTGGTAATGATTTTGAGCTGAATATTTGTTCATTACCCTTTATTATAACAATGATGCTCCAATGCGAAGTTCAGCTCTTTACCTATATTCGAAAAATATTTGATTCACAGTAATAGATCAAACACTGGAAAAGTAATGTGGCTAGAACATTATCAGACTACACCTATTCTACGTCGTCAAATCAACAAGTCATGATAGGTATATCGTATATGATCAAATATCAAATATAATTGAAGCCGTGTACTATTTCAATTCTGTTGACTGATGGATTCGTAATATCTTTCTAGTTTCGCAGTATCCTAGTGGTATAAGCGTCTGACAGTTGATTGGATATCCGATCGCAAGTTCGAGTCCGACTCCCGACTATATATTTTTTCATTTCTAACCGAATAGTGTCGGCAGATAGTCGGGCGGCCAACTAGCGGCCGGTGCGACACGGGCTAGCCGGGCCGACGATGTATCATGATTGTGGCCCGCTGATGTTGACTGTCGGCAGTTTTTGGAGGGCGCCCAAAGGCCCGCGCGATACATGTTTGCTGGGAGCACCCTGTAATTCTGAAACGATAACGGACCCATGTGCAGTAGGATTTTTTTTAAATATTTTGCTTTGCAGAATCGCCCCTAGGCGTTTGTTACTTCAACTCTAGTCAGACAGGTAGAACGTTATACCACCGCATTCACAAACATCATTTTGGTCTTTTAAAATATAAAATTAAGGGTATGGCCCGTGAGCCTACCAAACATCACCAAAGATACGGTTCACCGGTCCGTAATCTCTGAAAAAACCGATCGGTCAAATTAAACCTGACATACGGGACACGGTTCCTGAAAGAAGTGGTCTGATTATTTTACCATAGAGAAACCGTTCCTATAGAAGATCTGTTTTCCGGTTATCAACAATATTGTTGTCAATTATTGTCAGTCCAGAATTTTTGCGTGTTTTTTGTCACTTAAATTGACATCGCTGATATGTTGGTCCGTAAATTTACCGTTTTCAAGTTACCGATTTCTAACCACAGTGGTACAGCGATAGTTAACATGGTTATTGGCTTACGGACCATACCCTAAATCAATATATGCTACCCATAAAACGGGTCCAGCACGAAGGACGGATGGTTTTAAAAAATTCATAAAATCGATGGTTTGTTGAATGTTCGGGATATAGCTGGTGATATTCTGTATTATAGGGGAGGGGGGGTTGAGGTTAGAATTAGCGAGCGCGGGCTGAAGACTGTGTATCTCCATTATTCATTATCAGGTTTTGTGGCTAATGGAAGCTTGCTATATTTAAGTATGTGCTTTTAATGAGTATACTAATATAATATATACAGTTCCGACTCGAAAAATACTCAAGTAATAACGTTTTCAAGACTGAAGCTGAAAAAATACCTTTTCTATTATGATATTTGACACAATTGTGGACAGAGAAAATACGAACCATCAAATATTACAAAAGTTATAATCAACTGAAAAAAATTGGAAAAATTGATGCATCACCCTGTATCTTCATTCATAAAGAATGATAGACCCATAAGATATAGGTCATTTAGTAACACCTCAGTGTTCTCCATCTGCATCTACGCTTAGTGAATGCGCATTTTCCAATGATTCGCCCTGTATAACACAGTAGGAAACCCAATTGTGTAACTCAGTGATTTTCAGGATTTTTTATTGATTATTCTACTCTTGTTCTCTAGAATCAATCAAAATCAGTCATTTTCACGGTTTCTTCTTATACAAAAACAGAATTGACCCACACGTGACCAACTTTCCTCGTTTTTCAGCGATACAATTTTGGACGTTTAAAACGTCAATTATGCTGGAAGCCAGAATGATGGATGCAGTGTGCGCAACTATCGCAATCCGCTGCCTCAATCATGGAATACTCATACGAATACAACTCCTGATACTATTTTTCCTGGATGTCAATTGACACACTCCAGCTTGCTGCTTCAATTTCGCCCATGACATGTTCCAAAACTTCTCGCCCACGGCTCGAAAGTTTTGATAAACAATGTCATCCGGCGAAATTGTTAGGCAACAAGTTGTAACAATCGCCGAATATTTCTCGCAAAATAGGATCACTTGTGGTATTACATATGAGAATTTGTTCGCTCAGGAAGCTCTTGACTGCCCCTGCTGCTGCACTGGCACGTTCAGAGAAAAATTTCAGCGTGAATGCGTTCGAAAGTGCCCGCCGGCGGCTATAACGCGAGGAGAGTCGGTTATTTTTTATTGTTGTGCAGTTGATTATCCATGATGATTGTTAATTCTTTCTTGCAATAGCGTAGGGAAATTGATTGCAAAGGATTATCAGGTTTGTGAAAAAGATTAAATGCGAAGGTGTCGGTATTTTCATGCTTGTAATTGTTTCATTCATACAATAAGAATTTTGGAAAAATGAGCAAACAGAACAGGTACGAAATAAAATCGAGTAATCCAGGAAACGAGAAGTATCAGATCTTCCCAATTTTGGTCAAAAAACACTGCTATGTTACAGTTCGTTTACACCTTTTCGCAGTCATGGTGATCCCTCTGATGGATCTCATTGCCATTGCTTTATTGAAGTGTCTTTGAGGCTTGATATCATCTGAGTAATCGACAATTGTGTCCACTGAAGACAATATAACTAGTAGAACTCCGAGTACCTGAAATTATTGTCAATCAAATGTCTAGCTGGAAGCAGATCCGCATGCTCATTGTATCATCTGCCTTCTAGTGGTTTGATTCGATGTGTTATTGATGTGAAATATAGTTGAAAGCGAGTAAATAGTGTGTCATAATCTAGTGATCGAGTTATAAAGTGGAAGTGTGTGCGATGTTCACCAAAAATATAGTTTTTGAATAGAGGTATTATTTCATGTTTCCTTATTTTTGGAAATTATATAAAGGGAATGCTGAAATATAGGATACTTTTTTTTATGTTCTGGTTCCCACGAGGAGGGATATCCTGTAATGAGAACATCGTGAGAATCGAGGAAAATGAGGTAGGAATTGATGTTCTCCTTAAATTTCTGGGGGTTATATGCCTCGGGGAACACCTCCCTTGGCAATGTGTTCCAGAGCCTCGCTGTTCGTTGAATGAAGGAGTCTTCGGAAAGAGCTGTTCTGATAGTGAATATTTTGCATTCAATTAATATTTGCAACATTTCTTACGAGTTTTTTGATGTAAATAATGTGGCGTTGTTCGAAATTAGTGAATTTCAGAGCTCACTTCAAACGTTCCGTCATGGCCGCCATTTGGCCATGATCTGGGATCAGTGTTGCCACAGACATATGTTTTTTCGAGCGAGCTACGCTGTCAAAAACGAGCGAGATCTTGTTGTTGATGAAATAAATGAGCATTAACTCAGGACACATTACTATGTAGGTACATGAATGAATATTAAAATGAAAATTGTATTTTCTTTTACGTTCTTTATATTTTTTTGAAAGCATAGCTCAACTCTTCTTGTAACTCTTCTCAACTGATCGAAGAGTTACAAGAATTGATCCCTTGTGGAGTTAACAAAGAGAATCATGCAACCGACCCTAAGCATCCTAATTATGATCTTTGAAGGGACCTTAGTTTCCAGGGCTATCCGGTCGAATGTTTAGTTTTAGTTTGTAGAATGATGGAAATAAGCACAACTGATGCACTTTTGTTCCAGAAACTCTTCTCGACCTCTCGACTATGGTTTCGGCGATCTTCTGATAGATGGTGACATTGTTCAAGTATGACATCTGTCAATTTTTAAATTGCCGCAGGTTCTGCGAATTTCAAGTGAAATAAACCCACTTTCACACATGCAATTTTATTTTCACTCGTCCCACTCGTCACCAGTGGCGGCTCGTGACTTCCATGACAGAGGACGCTGAATGATATGAGATTTATTGTGAAAAACAACTCTCTACCACTCACCCAAATCAATAGCTTTAATGACATTCTGTTTACCAGTTAACCTGAACTTAATACTTGAAGAGATGTGTTCCTGTGATTTGCAGTGGCTATCCAATCCGCGAGGCAAATTTTTCAAATCATTATATCCTAATCGCCCCCAACATGATGACTTATCGGTTAAAAATAATACGCAGTACGAAAAAAATAGCTTATTCCTCACCTCAGATCCCGTCAACCAGATATATTTTTTATAATTATCAGAATTGAACGAACGATTTTGTTTGTTACCTGTTACAATCAGATTTTTCAATTCCGGTGTCGGACGTTTGTTTTTCACAATCAATTTATCTTCATAAGACAAAGCACCGAATGGGTTTACCAAAAAGTATTCCACTAAATCGCAATCGTTTAAAACACTCATTTTTCAGAAATTTATTGAGCTCCTAACCATTAACCTAACATAAACATAACCAATGCACTCGCGATTGTCCGCAATTCGCGACGAGACATGACCACGACAAACATTGCGCGCTAGGGGTGCGCATTGTGAAGGAGTCTAGCCTCCTATAGGTGTTGCCAAGTTGAATATTTTACGCGTGATTTGCAAACTTCAACGTGTGATGCGTGGGCAAGTACTGTCGCCAATTTAAAAATATTTACCTAAAGACAGGAAATAAAATCAAAATCCATGTATTTTGGTGTCCTTTTAATGAGAAAGTATAGATAATATCAGTTTAAGGAGAATCTCTGAGGAGGCTCAGCCTCCGTTGCCTCCTCTGAGGAGCCGCCACTGCTCGTCACAGCAGCAATAGCAGCATCACCATCTATCTAGCGGAAAAAAGTCTCGCTCGATGTGACGTAGTGAAATCATATTGAGCGGTCGAGTGATTTTTCCACAGCCTCCTATACTTAACTTTTTCTCAAGTTTTCAATAGGTAAAAATGGCCGACTACGCGCGCCATCTACTCATTTCCATCATTGTTGGTAGAAACATTAAATTTATCGAATGTGTTAAGGAAATTTATGCTAATATAGCTGAGCTTTGAAAAAACATGACTCCGTTATACCATATTGCGCCCAATCTCTGTGGCCTACTAGCTGAGGTGGAAACGAGCGAGATTTGACAAAGAGGAGCGAGAGAGTAAACTACTGACAAAACGAGCGAGATTTCGCTCAATCAAGCGAGCTGTGGCAACGCTGTCTGGGATACGTCGGATACATGAAGACGACAGTTTATTATCCCCTGTTTCCTAATTGGTAAGATAATTTTCCATTCCCACTCATGAAGCAAGGTTGTCAAGTCAGCAATTAAGAATAAAACTACATCCAAATTAAATATTTCATTTGATGAAAGTGATATCGAGGGAACTGTAAAGTGACTAGGAAAGAGATTATTGGACATAGCCCTCACAAAGAGATAACCGTATACACGTGTTTCGGGCTTTCGGCCCTCATCAGTACAGTGAAAGGAAGTACAAAGGATGGGCAGCACTTGGTAGAAAACGAAACAACAAATACACGGAGTTAACAAACAGAAGCCAGTCGCACATTTGTGGTTTCCCTGAGACCTCAGGGTCTGCTGACTGACTGTTTTATAGCGACCCGTCTGATTTCCGAAATGTAGTAGGATAATAGCCCTGAGATACCAATAACACAGTTTTTAGACACCGATAGATTGTAGCGCGTACCCGAAAGACCTTTAAAAAAATAGATAATGAGACTACAACACAAAATCACACCAGCCCGTCTTAACATAATTTTTATGAGTAAATTCTGGTCAATTAATGCGGAAAAATAAATTTTCAGACGAAAAACATGTCGCCTTACATTTTTGTAGCATTTCGAACATGTCAACAAGTGAACCATAGCAATGTGTCTGAAATTCGTCGTCAATGATATCAGACAGATTGAATGCAGCATGTAACTATCAGACAACTTTTCAATTTGCAGTACTTATATAGTTAATTCAAAACGGCCAAAACAGAACAGAGCCAGCATTCGCAGCAGCTGTGGTGAAGCAGGAGACAGGGATGTGACACGTAAATGGCCGTTATTGACACACGAGCGTAACCACAGAACTCAGAGACCTAGAAGGCTAATGCCAGTGTGAGAGATCGCTGAAATCTGATACAACCAGTGTGCTTGCGGCAACGCTGAGCATGCGCACATCGTCGGCAACATTGTCAGTTATTTATTTTCATACGCATATCTCATATCTATGCATGAGAATTTAGTTCACATACATTGTAAAACTTCTTGGAACTGATGATCAAAAGCTTCAAAAAAATCATGTAGAAAATTCTCGCGACAAGATTCATAGGCTCACTAATATTAATTGAATGGCTAACAAGAAATCCACGAATTATTATGAACTACTAATTTCATGAAAGTTCATCTGGCAACTGTGTAAGAATGTACCTCTGTCACTTTGTCTGACGTAGACTTAAGACAGCGCCGGATTAGTTCAAGTTATTCAGTGTTTTGCTTCGCATTTAACCTGTCTGTCGGTGTGTTGTATCTACAATCGTTAGTTAATTTGTTATTATTGAAGAATTTTAGAGTTTTAGTTGGATTGGACGGTTAATGATAGTCATAGTGTTTCCTGTTCAATTCACATCATATATATTTGATTCGACATTCATTGACTGATTTTTGAAATGTGTTGTGTTTTCAAAATGGCATATTGCATGGTCATTTGGTGCAAAAATAAAGGACATATCCCAGGAATATCTTACTTCAGGTAAATTTATATCGTCAACAAGCGATTTGTGCTATTTTATATTTTTCGATGCCATGATTCTGTTAACAAAACTGAAATATCTGCCAAGAAGATATACCTACAGATCTTCAAAATAAATGATATTAATTCAAATTTCAGGCTAACCAAGAGTCGTCACGTTGCTTGGATGACTGCTCTGGGGCGTGATGCCACTGTTGAGAAGTTGAGTCCCAGCATAGAGTGTGCAGTGAGCATTTCAATGAAGCAGATAAAATTCATACAAATAATACTATTCCATTGAAATTCTGTTGTTCCTACTTTGTATCTGAAAAGGCAACGTGAAGGATTGGGTGAGAATCAAAGATATCTGAACAGGTAATTTGACTTCTGCTTCTGAAACGATATAAGTATCGAATTTTCAGAATTCTTGTTCAATGATAGTGAAATGAGTGTGTGTTAGGGTCATAAGAGTAAGTCTTTGGAGAGGAATGAGTTGAGAAACAGATATTATCGAATTTGCCAATTTTATCCAAGTAGATATTAAATGAAATGGTTTTGTTCATCCAGATTCAAATTTCTAATTGAATTCTGATATAATTACTTCGAAGTCAATTCAATTATGGTATGCTGATTCAAATTTATCTGGTGAAAAATGTCAAATAGTTTTGGAAAGTTCCAACATAAAATAAACTAGGTACCTACACCAATTTTAAGGCAACCAGATCCTGCACCCAGTACATCAAACGAGCCACTGAGAGTAATTGAAGAAGAAGAATGTATAGGAGAACTGTCACCTTCCAGTAGTAAAAGTTATTTTGTGGAGAATAAGGAGAATTATCCTTGGAATTATCCAATACCAGTGTCATCCACTCCTGTGATTGAAATATATGCTATGAAGAGGTAAATTAAGATAGTTTTATACAATATAGACCTTAGAGTTTGAAAGACTTATTTTAATTTCAGCAGTAGTTCAGAAAGTAGTATCACAATGAAATTTGTCACTGATTCACCAGTTCTTCAACGGTTCAAGAGGAAACTGGAAACATCAT